TTTGTCATACCATCATCCTTGTAGCCAGGCGATGCACTCTTTCTAGACATTCGATGTCTTTTCGAAAGTAGGGTACCCATGCCTGAACACAATATTCCAGGTGAGGCCTGACAATGGCTTTGTACAGAGGGACGAGAACCTCAGATCTCCTACACATAATCGTGCAGTGTACACGAAAGAGTTCCCTTCCGGGTATGCTGGCTGCCCTCTGACATTGGTGAGAGGGTTCGAAGTCGTAGGGTATAATTACTCCCAGGTTCTCAATTCCTCTCTCTCTTAAGCTGGATTTCATTCTGTATGTCAAGTTCAGCTTCTGCTGTTAGAAGCTGACACTCAGCTAGGTTGATTGGAAGATCCCACCTTTTGGTCCACCGTATAACAGCCTGCATGTCCTCATATACGTTCGTTCCCGCTACTTTTAAGTCGTCCGCGAACATAAAGAACGGGTTGTTGATTTCCCGTGGTAGGTCGTTGACGAACATCAGGAATAGCATTGGGCCTAGCACAGAACCCTGAGGGGTACAGCTAATCATGTTGGCCGACCCCGATAATAGCATACCAACACTGACCTGGAAGGTGCGGTTAGTTATAAAGCAGTATACCCACTTTCGAACTTTCCCTCCAATTCCTAAGAATTGCATTTTTTGGTCTAACCCCTGGTTACTTACCGAATCAAAGGCTTTGCTAAAGTCCAGGTAACAGACCTCGACATGCTGTCTCTCGTCTAAGCGTCGTGTGACTTCATCGAGGAATGCAAGCAAATTTGATAGACAAGACTTCCTCTTAATAAAGCCATGTTGAACTGGCGTCGGTAGCTCATTCTCTACGAGGTACGCAGCCATATGCTTACGTAAAATCCGTTCTAGGCATTTGCATAGGACCGACGGCAGACTCACTGCTCTGTAGTTTACGGCCTTTTGCTTTGACCCAGATTTATGCAGAGCAACTACCGTCGCTCTTTTTCAATCTCCCGGTATGCTGCTATTACCTAGAGATACTTGAAACAGCTTTGACAGAGGCCCTTGGAGTATCTCCGCTAGAGGTTTAAGAATAGCGGGATGGATGCCATCCAGTCCCGCTCCCTTGAACTTATTTAGGGTAGCTAACTCGTAAACGACTTCGTCTGGTGTCAGAGTTATTTCGGTCAGCTGTGATGTCACACTGGGATAATCTGCCATAACCAATGGTGCTGGTTGTCTGTACAATTCCTTAAAGAATGCCAGAGGTGTATTTGCTTTGTCTTCCTCACTTTGGGCAAGACGTTCATCAGTGCTTTCCAACGTTCCAATCCCCTCGTGATGCCTTTTAAGATTGGACGTGAGCATAGAACCACTTTGGGTTCAGTTTTGCTTTGATCGCTGTTCCATGCTCATAGTCGTACCTGGCCCTTCGATGCATAACCTGCGCATGGTCCTTTGCTGCTTTCTAGCTACACCATGCATGATGCAAGCTGAGCCGTTTGTAAAGCGCCCTCTTGCGACTCCTTGTGGGCAGAGCCCTGTGTATTGACCGATCTGTGAAAATCATTCCCGTAAAGCCCAATCAATCTATCTCGGTTCCACATTTCGTGAATTTTACGTTCCATTCACCAAACACCATCCGCCTCATATACATATAGACATTTGACGTTCGACTTTCCCTGTATATTTACACATCAATCCTACCATTTGACTGTGTTTGTTTATCTGCTTCATTCGTACCCTACTTGTTTTAATCGTGACTTGAGCGCTCACATTTGGCTCGTTCAAGTGCAGCATGACGGTGAGCGTGCTATTCTTACGCAGGCTCATTTTCTTCCATTCAGAGTTGTTGAATTACGCTCACAGTAACACTTGGCTCTTGTTTTCAAGTTGTTTTGAGATCACCTTGAGGTTTGTACAGTTTTTATTTGCTTATTTGATCGCTTATTAATGCAGTACCGTAGAATTGCCGGTCGTTTTTTATTTGCTTATTCGATCGTTTAATAATGCAGTATCGTAGAAATTTGCCGGATCGTTTTACAGTTTTTATTTGCTTATTCGATCGTTTAATAATGCAGTACCGTAGAAATTTGCCGGACGTTCGATGTATTTGCTTATTCGATCGTTTAATAATGCAGTACCGTAGAAATTTGCCGGATCGTTCGTTTTGTTGACTTTTGGGGATCCGATTTCGGCTGTGCGTTACTCGTTGATCTTTTCGGGAGTTACACCCTGTATAAACATGGTTTTCACCATGGTGGCCTTTGGTTGAGTCTCCTCGGCCTCAGGGGTAAAAGTTTTTCGGTGAGCCTCAGTAAACTATCTTTGATTGCAGTCCATCTCTCCTCGATGGTGGGATCAGCTGTTAACGGTTCCCAGCTTAAACCTAACGCTGCCTCTCGAAGACTCTGTAATGGCTGTAGAAGTAGTAGTAGTGAAATTACGCACAGAATTCAGGACACAAACTACGCAATAGGAATCACGGAAAACGAATAAGAAAAACGATGGCACTGGACCGCAATGGCTCGAACTCGCAATAACCCGCAGGATCGAGACCCGAAGAAAAAAGGCTGCAAGAAAGGCGNACAAAGTCGTTTATTGAAGGAAATGAAAGTGAATATACATGTACACAAGAAAAGACCATTGGCTACCTTAGTTCCCATCAATAATATTGCATCACATCATGCGTCATATTGCTCTTCTCTGCATTGTATCTGATTGGCTGGAACGGTCCACCAATGACGTGTATCCGGAGGCTTTGCACGTGCTACTGGCATCAGCGCTCAAGGTCGATTGACTACCAATATCTGGAAACTGTACCGCGCTGCTCCAGGGCAGGCGTGATCCCGTAGATCCGAATCACCACAGACTCTCTTATTGTACACTTCCATAAAAGCGAACCATCTTGATTCCTGGCTTAGTGCACTGTTTCAGTACTTTTAACTGAAGAACCGCGTGGTCGCTTCTTCTTAGGGGAACCTCTATCCTCAGACTAACGATATCTAACCTTGCCCGATAAATAGCTAAGTCAAGGATTGAGGACCTCGACTGAAACGGAACCGAGTGGGTTCCCTTACATGGTGCACAAGCGCCTGCGAATGAATGTACTCCAGTAGTGCCCACCCCGCAGGCTCTCTAGGAGCTCGTTCTTCTTCCCAAGCCATTTCAGGAAGGTTTAGACCCCCCACGATGATAAATCTATGGGCCTTTCTAAGCACCTCTTGTAGGGTACGCATCAGTTCCTTATCCCCAGTTACCGTTGAGTTTGGTGCCCTATAAACGCAGACAATGCCTAAAGGTCCCGATCCAACCCTCAGGTGGCAAGCAGTAACCTGAATATTGGGAGAAGCCAACTGCAATGATCACTCCCATTGGTGACAGGTAGTCTGCACAGCTAAGAGGACTCCGCCCCCTTGCCTCCCGTTGACTCTATCCAGTCTATATTCGGTATACTCTTGCAGAAACAGGACCATACCTTAACTCTTGAGCCAAGTCTCGGTGACTTAAATGACATCTGCTTGCAGTGATGGCCTCAGCCTTCTTTTCGTATTTTGTATTTGTGTAACTTGTGTAAGCATATATTCTTACATTTCAGTTAAAAATGTACACTGTTCGTCACGCAGAATGAAATAAAAATAATAAAACCGAAAGGTAAGGAATGTCGATGATATACATTTCATGTACAAAACATCTGACGTAGTTCATTTGATATCTCTTCCTTTTTAGTAAGTAGTCGGGCCAGTTACGGTACAGGGAATTTTTATAAATGGTAATGCGAGACGGTAGCTGTCGAAATGAGGAGCGTGTAGACGGATGGGAACGAGAAGACGAAAGATCAAAGTGTAGTGGTTGGAGAGGGTCATCTAGAATCTTGGGAGAAAATTTAAGAGAAGAGTTGATGTGACCATCATTGAGATCTGTGAATAATAAATCAATTGGTATAAATAATAATAATAATAATAGGTGTATATTTCACGAAGCCCGTGAGACATTCACAAGGCATGATCAAATTTTCAGAGCGAGTATACGTACAATAACAGTGTGAGTACATAGGTAGACAATAATATGGTAGGGATCAGAACGAAAACGCAGTGTGAAAGGAACACAAACTGGACAAGGTCACCGACGAATTTATGAAAGATGAAGAATGCATTGAAAATGCATGTCACTAGAACTGAAAGTAATAGCAAAGCTGGTCTCGGGAGGATCGGACGTACAGAAACAGTGCGGGAAATACGGAGAGGAGGTCTGTGGAACAAATGCTGCCCGATGGTGGAGGCATGAGGATAAGAATAGAAAGGGAGGAATACAGCCAGAATAATACGTCGGTAAAGAAACATGTTTCACTCTATGCTACAATACAACTCGCTTCTGGAGACAAGTTCATTGGGTTCGGGGCTTCAATCGATCAAGGAGTGATTTGGATTATTTAGATTAATTAGGCGTTGGTCGCTTGATATAGGACTGACTACACACTGGACACCTAACCTTGAAACATCATGTAGGTGAGGCAGGGGGTGTGATTCTCAACCTGGTCCGGAACGCGGACGCATGTAGTCAAAACGGTGGAAACAGCCGTGCCCAACAACCATTGCCGGAGCCAAATTGTCCATTGTGGGCTAGGACCCCAAGCCTTCAACAGGCCCAAGACAACCGAATCTGGAACAAAGAGGCAATATACAGCAGTCTGGGGTATTACCCAGCTGAAGAGGAAAGGAAGAGGGGGAAACGGAACATACGACGGAACAATACTAAAAATAAGTGCACACCTAACACATTTTACTAAAATGATAGGGTACCGGAGTGAATATAGACGTAAGACAATATCGAGGAGTTTTAAAGCAGTAAGACAACAAAAAGCTTCTGAGATGGCGCACCAGAGTTTTGAATTCCACAGATCCAGCTTTGAAACTGATTCCGTGTACTGCTAAAAATTGGTTGAGAAATTGAACACAGCTATCTGGTCAACATATGCCACGGAGGAGGACCAAGTGAGTTGAGTGAGAATGACTCGAGAAACATTTTTCTCACTGGATGTGGGGTCATAATACTTGTAAAAGTATGTAACGGACTGAATTGTGTTCCACCGATCCAGCTTTGGAGCTCAACCAGTGTACTGATGAGAATGGGTTATGAAATTGTACACAGTTAACTGGTTAGCATTAGTGATGCACGACTGATTATCACCAAACCACGGCGAATTGTTTTGAAGTCGTGTTTTAAAAGACCGGGATACACTACAGGGAGCAATGAAGTAGAATGGGTAAAACGCATTGATGAACGAAAGATGACAGAACTAATTGTGCGGTTCGGAATTGCCTGAGTTTGCGTAATTGAAAAGATAGGCGTTTCATTTTTCCCACACAGTTGTAAATATGTGTAGACCAACGAAGATTGCTGTCGATGGTGACATTCAGGTACTTGACTGAGGTCATTCTAGATACAGGTTTACTGTCAAGGGTAGCAGAATCCGTTAGAAATGAGGAGTTGGAAAGACTGAAAATAAACTCTACGCACTTAGATATGTTAAGAATGAGACCAGATTGGTCAGAAAACTGTTGGATGTGGGATAGGTTTTCAGTAAAAGAATGAAAGTCCGGGGGAGGTAAAACTGTCTGAGACAAAATGACGTCGTCAGTATACTTTGGATGTGCTCAGGGGGTGGGACAGAAAGATCACTAATAAAGGCAGAAAAAAGATGCGGATATTCAACAGCACCTTGAAGAACACCAGAATTGTTAGCAGGTGGTTTTGATGCCCTTCTTCCTAGTTCGGTGCACTAGACCCTCTGTGTGAAATAGTCGGCAAGCCATGACAGCTGTTGTTCTGGAGTGCCAGAAGATTCAAGTTTTAAAAGAAGAGATGATCGGGAAACAGAATCAAACGCAGACGAGTAGTCAAGAAAAATACAACGGACAGACTTGACCGAATGGTTCAATGACTTGCTGAGAAAATGCACTAGAGTGGATACGGCGTCCAATGTGGACCTGTTTGGTTTATATGCAAACTGAAGGGGGTCATGGGAAAATGTGGTGTCTGACTGTAACCGACCCAGGATGACTTTTTCAGTTACCTTTAGAGCCGCTGAGGTCAACGCAATAGGACGAAACCTTTTCGCAAGAACAGTTGAGGACGTGGATTTGGGGATTGGAATAATGGTCACTGGACGCCAAGAATGAGAGATCGACCGGGAAGATAGGGACTCATCGACTGTGGATGTCATCATATGGATTAGGGAAGCTGCTCCAACTTTCAGAAGTGCCGGAGTAAGACCATCAGGGCCTGCAGCTGAGAATGCCTTGCAGGATCGAAGAAGCTTGGAGATTAACTTATTGGAAAAGGGCACTGAACTGGATTCATTGCGT